CTCCCTGTCTCTCCGTCCGTCTGTCCGTCTCTCTGTCTATCTCTATGTCTGTCTGTCTGTCTGTCTGTCTGTCTGTCTGTCTGTCTGTCTCCCATACAGGGTAGTCTGCAGGGTCTCACTACACACATTGGACATCTTAGTGATGCTCCTGTTTTCAGCCTCCCAGGTGCTGGGATTACAGGCGCCCGCCACCACGCCCAGTCTCAATCTCCGTCTCAGCAAACCCTCGAGGTGGAGCCTGCACAGCGGCACCCGGGGATCGAAAAGTCTATTTGCATTTAGCATGTCGGGTTTCCCGCGGTCCTGATCAAAAGCACTAACGGGCTGTTTCTCTCCTCACTCCCCCAATCCACCACCAGTGCCTCCTCTCGACCACCGCCTTCGGACAAGGAGTGTTTTTCATTACGTTCCTGGAAGGACAAGAGGCAGGTGAGAGAGCGCAGCTGCAGGAGGTGACTCCCAGGCCTTCCTTCAGGTTTCGGGAAACACGAAGTTAATGTGCAGTTCCCAGCGAGACGTCTCGAAGGAGATCCTGGTCGAGCGTCATCCCGCAGCCCTTGCAGCAGCAAACGTGGTCCAGGCTGCAGCTGAGCTCGTGCTCGGCTCCTCCGTGCCCCGCCGTGACGCTCACAGTCCTCCCAGAATGGGTGCATGCGCACTGCACGTGGCAGTGTCGCCGAGGGGCCCTGGCGTCCCCATCTGCTCCCCACCCTTTCCCTAGATCCTTCCTGCGGTAACAACTGCTCACGCATTTGAAAGCTTTTCCCTCTGGACCCGAGGTCCAGCCTGTGTAGAAACAAACCTAACTATCTTTTTCCAATTTTTTTTCCTATCATATCCCTGTTAATGTAGCTTAAAGTGATTTTTTAAAAAATATGGGCAGAGTTTTCTTATATCGAGATTTTGACAGCTCACCTCCTAAACAGAACAGACATGTATTTCTTCAAATGTTTCGTGGTTTTAGGATGTGCTTTTGTAAACATGGACCAAATATATGCCATAAACAATACTCAGTTCTGTTGCTGTGTCAGCCAGTAATTGGCACTGTTCACGGAACGTGTGTATAATGTGTCAGGACATCGTTAACAGATGAGGAGTCCTGACTGGTTGCTTCTGTATTTCCCAAATTATGTTGTAAACTGGACAAGAAGATATGGAAGGAAAATGGAATATTTTGCTTCAAATTCCAATAAGTACATCAGGAGTGGAACACATATTTCACTGAGTTTGACCTTAGTACCTTAGAGAAATTTAGAAAAAAGAATATTTTTCCCAATTTACATTTTGGTAGAGAAACAAATTGTAAAAATAGTATAAGAAAATAATGATTCTTGCCTTAGATCTTCTATATCTTATTTACATAATTTTCAAGAGCAGAAAGAATTTACAATATGGAATTGAACTCTTTTTAAACATTTATTTATCTGGTACTAGGTCTCACTACACAGTTTGAGCTTACAGTGATGCCCCTGTCTCAGCCTCCCCGGCGCTGGGATTACGGGCTTGTGCCAGCACGCCCAGTTTTGGGGCCAGAACAGTCAGCACAGCATGTGGTACCAGGGCTCGAACCTAGGTCCTTGTGCTTTCCAGGCTTGCGCTTAGACCACTGAGCTATCGCCCCAGTCCCGAGAATGTGAGCTTGTAAGGAGATTGCTTTTATTTAAACATGCTTGTTTTTCCTAGATGTGAATTTTTTTTATTAATAGGTGTATGAAATTAAGTCTAAGTGAAGTACTTTAAAAAAATTAAATGTGAGATGATACAAAGTCACTGCACTGAAGCTGATGAACGGATGGACAATGGCATGTGCTGGCACTTCCTCCTGAGGGTTGTAGCCAATGGCGTTGACTTCCTTTGTCTTAGCTTTAGTTAGCTTTCCTTAAGCTTCTGGGACTAATAAATGTATCTCACCTTGCGCTGCCAAAGAGGAAGCCCGGTGCTCACCCTGACCTTTTCCTTCCTGCCAGGGATCCAGTGGAATAATATATACCAGCCTCCGGAAGCAGGGAGCATGACATTTGGCTGGGTTTGCTGGATGATTCTGCTTGATTCCAGCCTTTATTTTTTATGCGGCTGGTACCTGAGCAACTTGATTCCTGGTAAGAATTCTGCACTTTATGAAATAACAAAATAAACCGCGCGGGTACTTTAACCCTCTATACATGAATCTAGAGTAATTGTTTATGTGTCATAGTAGACATCTGACAGGTATTCTTAGGACATATTTTAAAAGGAACTGTGAGTTTTTGAGACGCTCAGGCAAGGGGCAAGTTAGGGCAGAGGGTCACCTGGGTCAGCTTGGATCTGCCTGGGGGAGTGGCGGAGTGCAGTTCTGGGTGTGTCTGGGTGGCTACGAGCCACGGTTTGGGTCTGTGTCTGGTCCCGTGCCCTTCCTCCGTGGCACTGTTCCCTGGTCTACTTACCAGCCTCCATGCATAAGACAGCTTTGTTCCTTCTCACCCTCATGCTATGATGCTCCTGGCTTGGAGCCGTCCAGCCATGGACTAGATCCCCTGAAACCCCAAACCACATTAAACTCCTGCTCCTCGAAGCTGTGGATGCCTGGTTTTGTGTCCCAGGATGAAAAGCTGTCTAATACACGAAGTAAAGGGCTGGCCAGGATAAAGGCGCCCAAGTCCACCAAATGGTACCCAACCTGTGGGCTGCTGTCAGTCACACAGAAGGCCTCCCTGCCCCCAGGTCAAGTGTCTGAAGGAGGTGGGCATGAGGGGGCAGGGGCAGGACAGGCGGGGCCCATGGTGCTGTCACCCTGCGCAACACGGAAGCGTGGTGGGGGTCAGCGGGGGCAGACTCTGCGAGGAGCGACGCAGGGTGCAAAAATATGGAACTGGGTCAGTGGGGATCCGGAACCCCCTCCAATCCCAGGGCTGCCCACAGGGTCATGAGTAGGGGACTTCTCGACACGTGTGACACATGCAGCCCGTAGGCTGGGGCACCGCTGCTGACAGAGAATTTCCCCTTCTCGTAGGCAGGAAAGGAGCAGGCGCATACATTTCAGATTTGGGCCAAAAGGAGCCGAGACCTCATTGAAAACATTAAAATAAATGTTCAGGAATTACACGATGGTATGATATTTCCTAGTCAAGTTAACTCGTGACTCTGCCAATGTGCTTTCTAGCCTTTATAATTAAGGCCCATGGAGAGAAATTCACATTATACACAGACGAAAGTGGAAGAAGTGCCCTCCCCGTCCCGGGGCACTCTGTGACGGAGATTGAGACTGGGCGTGGTGGCCCGTGCCTGTGATCCCAGTGCTTGGGAGCAGAAAACAGGAGGATTACTATGAGTGACCCTGTACACCCTGTTCTAAATTCGTAAAAGAAAAAAAAGAAAGGAAGACGAGAAGAAGAAGCCCAGCTGATCCTGTCTGTGGAAATGTCTTCTAGTCAGGCTCTCTTGAAGGGCAGTGCTCCCCCAGGCATCCCTCGGGGGATTTGAAAGGGGATGCGTCATGGCGGCACTGTGGCCACACCCGTGGAAGTAGGAGGCAGGATTGATCAGAAGAGGCAGGTCTGCGGGTGTGACCTGGAGGGGTGCAAGTCCCCTCCTAGTGCCACCTTTTTCTGTTTTTTGGTCCCTGTGAGGTGAACGGCTCCCTTCTACCATGTCTCTGAGCTACACGGTCCTGCCTCAGGGCCAGTGAGCCATTGTCTGAGGCCATGAGCCCCAGAGAACACAGTTCATGGTGTGGGCGTGGGCGTGGCTGTGGGTGTAGGCGTGTCCTAGTGGCATGGAAAGTAACCAAGATGACAGCATGTTTTTTTAAAATATTTATTTATTTATTTAGTGTGTGTGTGGCCAGCTCAGCCCACCAGGGGGCGGGGCTGGCTGGCATGTGGTGCTGGGGGATTGAACCGCGGTCCCTGGGCTTTGCTGAGCTTAGCTTGTTCTAAGTAGGTGCTTTAGACCACTGAGCCATCTCACCAGCCTGACAGCATGGTTTCATTGAGATCATTTCACAGCAATGTGGAATATGACTGAAAGAGGGCGATGGGTCACAGTTGAGTTGTGACTTATTTTGGAAACACTTTTGGTGCTTTGAGAAAAATTTAAGAAAAAATGTCTTCTCTGTGGGAGGATGCAGGAGAAAATGGCCCCTTCCACGTTGTGGGTGGACGTGGGAACGTGCTTAGCCACCGTGGAGGCTCCTCGGAAGGCTGGCGTGTATGTGCTGCGTGACCTGGCCACCGCCCTCCCCGGTGGGCACCCGAAGGAATTCACGCCAGTGCCCTGTACGGTTGCCCGCATGCCCGTTATTTGTGGTACAGCTTATAAAAGCCAAGAGATGGAACCATCCTGTTGAGGATGAGTGGGTAAAGGAAATGTAATGTTTATGTACAAGGGAGCATTTTTCAGCTGTCAAGAACAGCAAAATGATGTCATTTGCAGGAAAATGGTAGAACTGGGAGTTATCCTGTTGAGAGAAATAGGCCAGGCTCAGAAAGACGGGTGTCATATGTTTGCCTTAAGTATGACATGTGGAATCTAAAGAAGAAAGAAAGGATGACCAAAAGTAGGGGACTCACATCCTCAGACAAGAGGCAGGGGATGGGGGAGGAAGGTGATGGTGAGAGCAGAGGCTGAGCTCGCGTGAAATACCGCACGGAAGCCCGAGGTCCTGGGGATTGCTAAGCACCAATGAAGAGTATTTAAAGAAACAGAGAGACCACTTGTATGACAAAAGAGATTGAAGTCATCATCCAAGAGCCGAGGCTCTGGGAAGCTGGAAGAGTGCCGGATGCAGGGCAGCGGTGGAGCTGCGTGAGAGTGGTGTGCAGGGGACCAGCTGTGAGATGCTGACTTAAAATGAGACGGATTGGAGCTGGGTGTGGGAAATGGGCCTGCCTGGGACAGACAGAGCCCCAGCCAGCAGCAGCAGGAGGAGGAGGAGGAGGAAGGGGAAGAGGAGGAGCATGGAGGAGAAAGGGGAAGAGAAGGAGGAGGAGGAAGGGGATGAGGAGGAGGAGCATGGAGGAGAAAGGAGAGGAGGAGGAGGGGGCGGAGGAGGAGGGAGAGGAAGAAGACAAAGGGGGAGGAGGATGAACAGGCGGAGGGGGAGCAGGAGAAAGAGGAGAAGGAGAGGAGGAGGAGAAGGAGGAGGGGAAGGAGAGGAGGAGGGGAAGGAGGAGGAGGAGAAGGAGGAACGAGATCACCAAATGGAGGGGGTAGGGTGGGTGGAGCTCAAGGGACCCTGTGGAGGGCTGTGGCTCCTGAGGGGAACAGGGGTCAACGGGAACAAAAGACAGAAAAGTTCGCAGTCATTCGCTGAAGAAAAGACGGTCTGTGCGTGTTGAGCAAGCAACCATCGGGCTGCACACAGAATTGGCAAGCAGAAACCCATGCCTGGATATGTAGGGCAGTGTGAACAGGAGAAAGGAGAGACATGTGGAGCAACTTGGGTGATCTGAGCACCCCTCTGCCATGGGACCCAAGGTGTGAGGAGCCTTCGGGATGTTTTCATATAAAACTCTTGGTGTTCCGTGTGGTTCCCCTCCAAACCCTGCAGAAACTCTACTGCATGAGATCTAAATCCTGTGCAAGCAATCTGTGCCCAGCAGGAACGAGGAGTCAGGGCAGAGTGGAACTGTCTTCACCCAATCTCCTGGGCATCTCCAGGGGAAGGAGCCCCGGGAGAACAAGACTCAGGAAAGAGCAGAAGGGACACTGAGGGGGAAGGGAAGAGAGAAAGACAGAGGTAGACGCAGACAGAACAACGACAGCTGCCCTGGCTCTCCAAGGCTGCACCTTTTGCAGCTTGACTGAGCTGGATTTGAGCAAACGGAAGCAGTGATGGGTACTGCCAGGGGACAGGGCGCTCGGCTCTGTCACCGCGACCTCAGGGAGCGCTGTTCTTAAGGTGGTGTAGTCCTGTGTGCCTGCCTTTCAGGGAGACACTGACTCTGGGGTGCAGCTTGGGGAAGAATGATTCTCAGGGTCACTGATGTGCGGGGCCCCATGGATGCTGCTCCTGGCATCCTCTGTGCGCCCAGCACGTCAGGGAGGTGCCCAGGGGTCTAGCTGACCACTGAGCGGAAAGCTCCAGCTACAGGGAAAGAAGGAGGACAAATAAGACAAGCAGGGAGAGCATGAAGTGGAGACAAAACCATTCTTCTACACAAGAGAAGCAGCTGAGGGAACAGGGTGAGCCACTCCAGAGCCACACAAAGCTAGAACATCACTCCCCACTGACAAAGGTGCAGCCTGGCCGGCAAGGAAAGCTGTCTCGTAACTAGAAGTCACCCGGTGTGAGCCAAAGGCAGAAGAGGATGTGTGTCCAGTGAGAACAGAGCTGTGGGCGATCTACTTGGGAGTGGGTCACGTGAACTGCTGTTGTGTTTCTGAAAAGGGAGATTCCTCATTTTAAAGATGTCCATTTTCTCCTGATTGAAGTTCACATTTCTGTAGTTCTAAATTATCTAATGGCGAGTCCGAATGTCACGTTCATGTCATATAGTGGAACGTTGATAAATCATTTAAATGAAAGTGCCGAAGAGAGGAATTTACTTGTGGTTGATGAAATGTTTGTAAAGCACGGCTAGAAATATAAGTTAGTGCTAATGAAAATGCTGAAGATGATAATGGTGAATGGGGTGACGGGTGAGTTACGCAGACACTTACTATAGACTGGCGTGGTGGGCTTCTTAGATAAAATAATAGATGCGGGGACAGATTAGAAAGCTCAACACCCAATCCAAATGCATACGGTTTACTATGTTAATATTGGCAGTTTTAGTCAATGGGCAGGATACATTATTTTTCAATCTATTAGGGAGAAAAAAGTTAAACTCTTATCCATAAATTCAGTGGAAATAAATAGCATTGAAATAATGAAGAGGGCTGGGAGTGTAGCTCAGTGGTAGAGTGTTCGTCTGGTGTGTGTATCGCCCTAAGTTCCATTCCCCCACTGTCACTGAAGACAAAAGAAATCACACTGAAAGTAATAGAGATGTAGGGCCAATATAATTTAGAAATAGACAAGGCCTTTCTAAACATAATGCCAAGGGCATAAGTGATAAAATATTAATTTAAACCACTATTTCAGGATATTGAAATAAAGGATGTTACAGGACAATTCACA